TCTATATCTATATCTATATCTATATCTATATCTATATCTATATCTATCTATCTATCTATCTATCTATCTATCTATCTATCTATCTATCTATATATATTGCATTCGGCTTTGTTCGGGTATTTTCCCACGTCATTGTAGTTGTTCTTTTAAAGTTGTACCAACATTTCAGCAGAATCTCATCTGTCATCATGCTGAATTCTGCATGCAAAATTGATTCTGCTACCCGAACCAAGCCGAATACCATACATGTAAGTACCCGCGAAAACTTAAGAAAACATATATATATATATATACATACACACACACACAATATATATATACACACACACACACACACACACATATACACATATACACATATACATACACATACATACATACATACATACATATATGTTTTCTTAAGTTTTCACGGGTACTTACATGTATGGTATTCAGCTTTGTTCGAGTATTTTCCCACGTGTATATATATATATATATATTCCTTCATCACTGTCCATTTTGAATATACATATGGCGGGAAGAGGAAACATGAGAGAGACCAACACATCAGAATGTGGTCAAGTAACAATCACAGCTAAACTGGCACTATGTAAGGGTCAACAGAATTCATGGGGACCAGGATTTGGGTCTCTTGTGGCTGCACAATGATTCCAAACTGATGACACGTTTAATCTCACCTTCCAGCTCATCTCCTGCAAGCTCACATTTTGTGTAAATAAGTTAAGACAATGGCCAATGATTTGGGACAACAGCATCATCATCATTTGCATTCTTTTAGAGAGTTATTGAGCTATCTGTATCAAAAGAGATTCTGTATGAACAGAGGGGAAAGGATATGAAATCATCTATCTCCAGTCTACAACATGGTCCTTTCAACAGTTCCAAGAAGGCTCCACACCCTTTTGCACTACTCAGGTGACCCTGAGGACACAGATAAATCTCCTAGTGGCTTCAATGACTTTCTAAAAGGATGCAAATGACCAGCTGTCCACAAGGAACATAAATTCTTCCATACTGCACCATCCAGTAAGAGCTGAAGAAGCTCCTTGGATGAGAAGCTAAATGTCATCAAAGAAAAAACAGAAGGTCCGGTTGCCTCTTGAAAAAAAAAAGCACCATTGGGATTACCTTGGAGAATAGTTCCCAATAAGAAACTAACACGCATTGCTGCGCTGCTCATAATACAGCGTTAGAAAACCGCCAGTAACAAAAATGCGGCTTCCAGTGAGGTTTTTCACTTAATTAAACTTGATATCAAATCAGGAATCCTATATATTTATTTAGGGTTGGTGGTCATTGGAGTGGGAAGGAAGAGAGACTCATAAACCATAGGGCGAAACAAAAATCAGCATGACGGTTGGTTACGCTGGTTCAGATAAGAGGTTTTAATAAGTATCTGTTCTTGTAGAAACTGTCAACTTCAGGAGTCACTTTGTGGAGGAATTAAAGCAACAATTGATTGTCCTTCTAATTAAAAGAAGAAACCTGCCAGGCAGAACCAAGAGTAAACACATAGGAAAATATCTATGGAGGTTCTCTGTCATCCAGGTCTGAGGCAACTGGACTTTCTGGTTTTTCTCTGAAGATGTTTCGCTTCTCATCCAAGAAGCTTCTTCAGCTCTGACTGGAGGGTGGGGAATGGAAGGATTTATACTCCTTCTAGACAGTTGGTCATTTGCATTCTTTTAGAGAATTGTTGAGGCCACCCGGTGACCCTCAGGAGACAGATAAACCTCCAGGTAGCCAAAGCAACTCTCTGAAAGAATGCAAATGAATGTTATGAAGAGCCTCTGAGCCTCGGTAGAACAGCAGAACAAGAAGAAATATCTTTGCAATGAATTTTGTCTCTGGGAGATTGGGAGTTGTAGTCCTGGTTTTCAAAATTGCAATGCATGGTTGTGAAAGTTGGACGATAAGGAAGGCTGAGCGCCAAAGAATGGAGGCCTTTGAACTCTGGTGCTGAAGGAGAAGACGCCTGCAAGTCCCTTGGAGTGCAAGGCGATCCAACCGGTCAGTCCTAGATGAGATCAACCCTGATTTCTCTTTAGAAGGCCAGATCCTAAAGATGAAACTCAAAGACTTTGGCCACCTCATGAGAAGGAAGGACTCACTGGAGAAGAGCCTAATGCTGGGAACGGTTGAGGGAAAAAGAAGAAGAAGAGGACGGCAGAAAAGGAGGTGGCCGGATGGAGTCACTAAAGCAGTCGGCGTGAGCTTAAACGGACTCCAGAAGATGGTAGAGGACAGGAAGGCCTGGAGGAACGTTGTCCATGGGGTCACAATGGGTCAGACATGACTTCACAACTAACAACAACTAACAACAAGTCCTGTGAAAGCCAGCTGGATGATTTTGGGCCAATCACCAGGAGACTGTGAGTTCTAGTCCCACCTTAGGCATGAAAATTGGCTAGGTGAATTTGGGCCAATCACCAGGAGACTGTGAGTTCTAGTCCTGCCTTAGCCATGAAAGCCAGTTGGGTGACTTTGGACCAATCACTAGAAAACAGTGCATTCCAATCATGCCTTAGACATGAAAGCTGCTGGGTGACTTTGGGCCAATCACCAGGAGACCATTCAGCCCCTTTCTTATAGCCCCAACTCACCTCACAGGGTTGTTGTTGTGGGGAAAACAGAAGGAGGAAGGTGCGTTGGATATGTTCACCATGGTGAATTATTTATAAACATAATAAAGCTGTGCTTTAATGGACTCACACATAAAAGAGAGCTGGAAGTTACCCTTGCAGTTTTCAAGATCTGTACCTTATCTCTTAATTTTTGTATTCCATTTTTTTATTGAAGTGTTTCCTTGAATATGCCTTGACAATCCAACAAGGAGAAACACAAGAGAGAACATTCCAGAAGGTCTCCCGTTCCTATTCACTCCTAATTTTGAGGGAGGGGAAAGAAGTGCCCCAATGACCATTAACCACTTGGATGCTGAATTCTAGCAGCGTTACCTCATAAAGACTTCATATCAAACATTTTGGGGGGGGGTGTCTATGTTTGATCTGGGGGATTAGCCATCGCTGTTCTGAGGAGAGAATAGGGTTGCCTTCCTGATGGCAATCCTTAATTCTGTTAGATGAGGAAAGAGGAGACCCCAAACTTCTTGTTTCTAGGAGATTCTTGATGAAGTTCTTACCTGAGCAAACTTGTGGATCTGTTCCACCATCGCTGCAAAAAGGGCATGGACGCTCTCGTCAATCAGGCTCTGCATGTAGTGGACAGCTTCCTCATCAGACAGGTCCAGACGGAACTTGTCCTGAACCTGAGAAGAGTGAGAATGAAGGACCTAGAAGACGATTCTGAATTGAGGATCATCTCCACAAAAGGGGCAGAAAATTTTAATCTCTCTGTCTCCCTTTCTCTTTCACATTCTTTTTCTTGTCCTTGATGTTCTCTGAGCTTAGTTGTTTTTTTGTGTGGATGTTTCATTATTCAATTAGGTTACACCATAAGTGCTAAGAATACATTTCCTAATTGGATAATGAAAGGTCCACACAAAACAAGCAAGCTCAAAGGCATCAAGGACACCACATGACTTCTGAGCTACAAATATTCTGTCTGTCTGTCTGTCTGTCTGCCTGCCTGCCTGCCTGCCTGCCTGTCTCATGTATGTATGTATATAATGTAATGTAGTATGTATTTAATTATCTTTCTCTCTCATCTATTATCTATCTATCTATCATCTCTCTCTCGCTCACTCATCTATCGACCTAGAATCTAGATCTATCAATCTATCGATCTATCAATCTCTTATCTATCTCTCATCTCTCTTATCTCTTTCCTATCTATCATCTCTCTCTCATTTATCTATCTCTCATCTATCTTTCTATCATCTCTCTCTCATCTCTCTCTCTCATCTATCTTGCATCTATCTAGCTATCTCGCATCTATCTATCTATCTATCTATCTATCTATCTATCTATCTATCTATC